ACAACTAGCTTTTTCTTGACAATTACTTATATACACGCTGTAATAGGCAGCCAATGTTAAATTTCTGCAAGTCGTCCCTACTCCTCCGGATGTGATCAAGGTGACAGCCGGCAACGCCTCAGACGAGGAAGAAAACCTGTTTGGGTTAGTCTATTTCTTATAAGGTCTATGTTTCAAGACAAATAACGTCATACTTTTCTTTCTCATTTATCTTGAAAACTATGTGCGGTACGAGTGTAGATCTTTCATTCTTTTATTTATGCCAAGCGAAGTATCGGGCTGTGGAGAGTTTTGGCCGTCTTGATGGGACATCCTGCATGTAGAAAAGAAGCATATTAGGCGAATGTCTCAAATATAAAGAACGAGGTAAGAGCTAATTCCAATTGGATTTATTCACATAATTATTAAAATGTTGACACACATAGAATAATTTTATCTAAAAGAAACCTCTCATAGAATCTTTACTGAAAAAGCAATCTGTATGTTTGGGGTATAACAATGGCACTATTTAAGCCGAGCTCTTTGACTTCGTATAAGCTGTTATAAATAGAAAAATGTATTCCTCATATCATATCAGAGACTGACACAGAATTCGTCACTTCAGAAGAGTCCCGAAACTCGATTCCCGATTTCTTCGACCTTTCATAAAATCTGAGAATATTTGTTTTTTTTTTAATCGCTAAATGGTTCTTGTTGATCAAATAAAATACTAGCTTTGAAATATGGGATTGTTTATTAATAGTTGCACTTTAATAATTTCTAATATCGCCTAAATAACGCAAAGAATTCATTTTAACTACTGTGTTATTTCAATTTCAGTACATATTTATACGTATAAATGTTCGATATTTTTCCTGTTCGGTTCAAAGATAGGTTTCGATGTTTTACTTTTTTTTTCAATTTCTGCAATTTCAGTGCATATGTTATGCGTATAAATATTCGCGTGCTTTCCTGTTTCGTTCAATTCTGTTTTGTTTGGGTGTTCACATTTGGCAATCTTTTTCGCTTTAGCTTTGTGACAGTGCCTCTTGGAAAATTCATAACAAATTTGGTGATAACAAAATTGGTCTTTCGCGAGAATTCTTCTGCTCAGTGACAAAGGAAAGTCAGGTAGCTGCGTCTCAGTGTGCACTCGCTTTCTTTTCTACTACTATATTCCTTAGATATCAAAGTTTATTAGAAGATAAAAAAGAAACTGTCTGACATCGTATAAAAGAATCTTTTATATGTTCAAACGTTTGTTAATAAATTCTTCTCAGAATGAGCATATAAATGCTACAATAATCCTCTAATCAAAGAAATTAAACTAATCCGATCATCGATATCATAACACTAACTTTATCAAGACAGAATAAAATTAATACCCTTAACAGTTTTTCAGTTGAGTAACATAAAGGTTCTTAATACTATAGAATTCCTTATTAATTTTCAGTGATAAATGATATTTTATGTAACAAAGATGCAATTTAACGTTATCGAGAACCATGTTATTCTATAAGTAACAAATGTTCAGAGGCATTTAGTAGATTAATTAGTTCTTTTGGGAGTAGGTATCATGAAATAATCAAATTTTCACTAAAACTAGAATTGCATACATTCCATTTGCTATCTATTCAAATCATCACTATAAAGATGCATAAAAGACATGTCTTTAATTACTTACAAGATCGTGGTGATGAATCTTCATTTAAATAGTTATTCTGCCGGTGTTATAAACAGTGACTTTTATGTAAAGCATAGATAAACTAAAGAATCGGAAATACAGGGTGTTTATAAAGTCCCGGACCCATTTTGAAGTTTAATAACTCATACCATAATGAAGATATAAACAAACCTATGGCATTTATTGATGGAATAACTTATATACTATTTTCCTTTTCAGATTTGAATATCTTTACTTTTGTAAATATCGTCTGCGCGTGTGGTTAATTTCAGATAATTTCATTTTCCAGTCTAAATATCTGTACTTTTCTCAATATCGTCTGCTTAATAAATGCATTTTTCTCTCTTTTGGCATCTTTCTGGCATTGTTAATCGCCATGTGCGCATATGGCGATGTGCGCATATGGAGATCTGAAAACCCCCATAAATACCGTGAGGCACAAAGGTATTCCCCAAAGGTTAATGTGTAGTGTGGACTAATGCACGACCGAGTCATCGGGCCTTTTTTTTCCAGAAAGGACGGTCTCATCAGTCATATACTTAAACATGTTGGAAAACTTCGTATGTCCGTAACTAGAAGAGCTTCATCCACATGTCTTTTTTCGAACAAGATGGTGCACCACCTCATTGGAGTACCATCGTTCGTAGTTCTTGATGACCATTTACTGGAAGATGGATTGGGCGATTTTACAGGAAGATGGTCCAATTCCTTGGCCACCCCAGATACCTGATATAACGCCGCTGACTTTTTCCTTTGGGGATTTGTAAAGGCAACGTTACAGAAGGAGAGTGTCGATATGATGACCTAAAAGCCAGAATTACAACGAATAGCCTCTGTAAATGCCGACATGCTTGCCGGTACCTGGCGTGAAATGAATATCGACTGATATGGTCCGTGCGACGAAGGGGGCACACGTGAAAGCTCATTGACAAGGGTTATGAAACTTTTTGAGTCTATCTAATCATTTATGTTGTTAATTTTAATCTATATTATTTTATGAGTTATTAAACATCAAAATGGGTCCGGAACTTTATAAACACCCTGTATATAGAATACAAGGTCTAACTAAGATATATTGAGACTGCTCATATTCTGGATGTGGTAATTCCGTCCTAGATCTTATAAAGTCATATATCCTCTAATCTAGACTTGCAATTAGGTATCCACGCCGTTCAGTATTTGCCCACTGCGAGTGAAAAAAACCCCTTTGTTACCACCATTTTGGCAAATGTTGCCTCTGCTCGAAGCATAAGAATTTTAATTTGTCATGTGCATGCCCTCATACATGGCCGATTCTAAGAATGATGACATTCCATAAAGCATGAGAATTTTAATTTATGTTTTAAATTAAATTAATGTATGTTTATTAAGAAACTGAATGATTTAAGAACAATAAATTCATTTTTTATTATTTTAAATCTTTATTTTACTTTTAATAATATAGATAATTGTTGTAATTTAAAAGCCATTTAATTATTTACCATATATCAATCTGGTACTTTTATGAGTGTTTGTAGCTTATTTCAGTTAATAAAAAGATTTTCTATTATTAACGTTAAAGCAAATGGTACTGAATCTTTTATATTTTATTAATTTTTTTTATTTGAACATTTATCATGTTTTACGAATCTTAGCATTTTTAGTAAATATTTTTCTAAATTCTTATTCAAATTCTACATTATAAGCTGAAATTTTTCATGCCACAGTTGTTTTAAGTGGCTGTAGTAAACATTTAAATATATATTGTGTTGAATAATCGAAACATATTTTAAAATATCGCCAGAATTCCGTAAATAACATTACAAGGTATTTCTCCCGCACGCTCGACGTTAGCACGCTCGACGCGTATTCGACGCGTATTCGTTAGCACGCTCGACGCGTATTCGAGAGGTCTGTGGTTCGAGTCCCGGCGAGAGACTGCTCATTTTTCATCTCTCCTGTTTCAAAAAACCTAATGTCTCTACAACATAACAAAGACCGAGTGAATTTGGAAGATCACTTTGCATTTGGAAGATCAGTTTCCAAACGAGGGGTAAAAAATTTGCAGCAAAACAGCATCGCCTCGATATGCAGAGAGGCTCTTGAGAAATAGTTGTTGTTATTGGGACTAACAAACAAAAATTTACAAAAATCCGTGCCTTCTCGGAGATTCAAAATTAGGCTTTTCGGTACGGTGGTCAAAGTCACAACCTACTATCTCGTTTGGACGCCTCGAGAAACAATAAATGCAATTTAGCAAAACTTCGATTTTTTTTCAGTCTTTATGAGTGTATACGACTTACATACAAAAAACTCTTTTCTTAGATTTTTTAGAAAGATTTTTGGATAATTAGCAATACAAGTTTCAGTTAATAATGTAAATGAGGCAGTTTATTTTAGTAAAAAGATAAAAAGATTTTTAGAAAGATTTTTGATTTATTTTAGGATTTTTGGATAATCAGCAATATTTCATTATAATGGAATGAGGCAGTTATTTTAGTAAAAACGATAAAAAGATTTTAGAAAGTTTTGGATAATTAGCAGTTTCAGTTATAATGGAAATGAAGCAGTTATTTTAGTAAAAAGATAAAAGATTTTTTAGAAAGATTTTGGATATTAGCAATACAAGTTTCAGTTAATATGGAAATGCAGTTTATTTTAAAAAGATAAAAAGATTTTTAGAAAGATTTTGGATAATCAGCAATATAAGTTTCAGTTAATGGAAATGAGGCAGTTTATTTTCGTAAAAAATAAAAGATTTTTTAGAAAGATTTTGGATAATTAGCAATAGTTCAGTTATAATGGAAATGAGGCGTTTTATTAGAAAAAAAAAAAGATTTTTTAGAAAGATTTTTGGATAATCAGCAATATAAGTTTCAGTTAATAATGGAAATGAGGCAGTTTATTTTAGTAAAAAGATAAAAAGATTTTTTAGTTTTAATAAGGGAATGAAGCAGTTTATTTAGTAAAAAGATAAAAGATTTTTAGAAAATTTTGGATGCAATACAAGTTTCAGTTAATAATGGAAATGAGGCAGTTTATTTTAGTAAAAAGATAAAAAGATTTTTTAGAAAGATTTTTGGATAATTAGCAATACAAGTTTCAGTTAATAATGGAAATGAGGCAGTTTATTTTAGTAAAAATAATTTTGGGGAACAGTTTCGAACTGCAGTACACTAGATTAAATTTACCCGTATGGTAATACATTTATAGTGGTCGGTAAGCATTACTGATACAAACTAGAGCATCAGTATATATCATTAACGAACGCCACAAAGCCATTCCAAACTCTATTATACATATATGGAATCTATTAAATCAAATTGCACAGAATTAAAATATAAAATATTATACTCACTTTCTTTCTGTTTTTTAAGATGGCATTATCTCTGATATCTTCTTTATTTCCTGGTATCTTCGGATCTTTCAGCTTAAGAGCTATGTTGACATAAACCATAGAAATGAGACACAACGGCACAACGTACTGCAGCCATACGAGCATGTGGGTATATATTTTCCATAATAATATTGGAACAACTGTATTTTGACAGAAAGGTTTTGTAAACGTTCCAGTATCCGGATCTAATGCCATACTCACTCGAAGAGCAACTGCATATGGCACTCCGGTAATAGCACTGAAGGTCCAAATACATACAATAATCCATTTAGCTTTCATATTGACAGTCTTTGCTTTTATTGGGTACATAACAGCTCTATAACGATCAAGAGCTATAGCAGTTAAAGAAAATACACTTACATTAACGGAAAGAACTTGAACGAAAGGACAAAAAGCACACATGAATGGTGGCAAAACCCATCTTTGAAGAAGAGCCGCTTGGAATTGGAAAGGTATTACAAACAAACCAATTACAATATCAGCAATAGCCAAATTAGCAATGAAAAAATTGGTGACAGTTCGCATACGGCGACTTAAAGCTATAATGAGAAGTATGCAAAAATTTCCAACTATCGTTACTAAAGAAACAGTACCATAGAAGCACGATAATGCTATAATTAATGCAATAGGTACATCATACAAATCAATAATGTCGTATGTCTTATTAAATGAAACATTGTCCTCTTTATTTTCCTCATTGGAGATATTAAAATAAATGTCTAACATTTTTAGTACGGAATATTTCAGAATTAACAAAAATAAATTACACTTATTGATTTCAAATAACTTTTTTAAAATAAACAGGGCATAACAATTATTTCGATAAATTAAAGGAAATTAATATTTTAAGAAATTAAAGGAATAATATTAATTTTTAAATAGCTATTATTTCTTATTGTACCAAAAAATTCTCATTTTAAATGTATAGAAGTAATGAGAATAATCTTTTTGAATTGTGAAGTTTATATTAGGTGCTATGCTATCAAATTTTAAAAGCTATTATAAATTAATCCAAAGCTCTAAAATAATTTATGGAAAATAAAGCGAATATTTTCATTTCCCGTAGTAATATTAAAGATACGAATTAAATTTCATACATTAAATTACTTTTAACATTTATACGCAGTTTAAAGCAATGCCTTTATTTAACATTACGATCACATGTTATTATTAAGAATTTTATACTATAGTCATGGACGCTACGTTTTTAAAATCTCGTATATCTAAGGTTTTCTGAACATATATAGTAAATTAATTATCATCTTTTATTACTTCATAATTTTATTTATTCGAAAGTAATTTTTTACGTTTCTTAATCTAATATATTACTCGAAATTTTAAACATACTTTGTACTTTATCCAAATGCTTAGTGCTTCACAAGGTTCTGATTCACAATAAATTCATTAACTATATTCAACAATTAATAAGAAACCGCCTTCATGTTTCAAATGCTTACGTAAATTACAAAGTACTTTTCAGTTTCAAATGCACATAAATACACTTTATATACAGTGAATAGGAACTCTTGACTTCTATATATACTGAATAACGGTAAATTCTCAACAATGCTGCCGAAACAACGAAAGCTACCTAAAGACTCTACAAACTTCTTAGAAAATGTGAAAGTAATTGCAGTTAGATCGCAAAGTAACAGGTGGCGCTAAGATCGTCAAAATATCGATCGGCAAGTTTTCTAGGGTCTGCTTACGAAGTTTTATTATTTATGTCTTTTGTTTTGTTGAAAGATTAGCAGTATCCTCTGTCAAAAACATAACATAGGTCATTTGAGCTCTGGATTTCTCACGTCGCAAGAGTAAGAAAAACAAGGGGAAAAAAATAAAGAAATATTAAAAAAAAATTCTGAAAGGTTTCAGATTTTAAATTACGTCCAAAGGGGCGTTTTTTTAACATATTTATTAGATATCACGTTCTTCGCACTTAAACCGTAAAATTCAGTTTAAGAGCAATATAGTTTAAATTAAGCATATCTTTAGGATTTCAGATACAAAGTCTCGCGCGCTGGAGATGAAAATGTTTTTTTCTGTACAACGTTGCCATTTCTCGCTTTAATTTTCTTGAGGTTTTTAATAAAAATTCGTTAAAGGTTTACAAAATATGAAGTCATCGATTTCATATTCCACATGCTCATATTCGCAGTAGGATTACGTTAGATCGCAGTAGGATCAAATTCGATAGCTCTATGTACCATTGTTTTATCACAATGAGAGAATATACTACATACAGTTATGCAGATTTTCCAATTTCTTAAAATATAATGCAGGGATTCCTTTAACAGAATAACTTTTTGTTTTGAAAGATTAACTTACTTGTTTTCAAGCAAACTTCTGTGTAGATGAAGTTTTTTCTAAAGCCATTATAGGCATTTGCTTTTGTCATTAGGATGTCTTTCTTAAAACCTGCAGCTTACTTTCTTGATAGAAAAATCATCACACGATCTGTTCGTTACTTTTCCCATTCATCTCAATTGATCTTACTTTTTCCACTTCTTTAAGTTCATTTAAAAATAATACTTGATCTTCCTTGGAGGTACACAATATTTAGCCCATGAAAGTAGTCATTGTGTGAATCTTTCAATCACTTTGTCTGGATGTTTAGTAAAATCAAAACTTAGCACTGGCACAACGTTGATAAATAAGAATTTAACACTGCTGCACCATTCATAAATGAGAATTTGAGAAATTTAGCTTTTCAAAATTCCAAGAAACTTCTCTCGAGTTCTTCTTACCTAGGTTCGGTGGTTCAAACTTTATTTATAAATTTTTCTCTCCGGGTAGGGCTGAAGTTCAGCATCAATGCAAGAGATCATTTCTATTTGAAATAGTCAGCAAGGAAACATCACACTCTCTATTTAAGGGTATGCACAAAATATTTCAAATCCTCTACTTACCTCCTAAATTCACAGCGTAGTTAAATTAAAATTTTTGAAACAAAAATGCATTCGTTAATTTAAAACAAATTTGGAAAACATAATACAATAATTTTAACTTCCTATGGACTTTTTCAAGTGATCAAGAGCCTTTTTCAATTTCTAAATTACAAAGGTTTGTAGACCAACTTACTCTTGCCCCCTTCGAAAGCAAATTTTTAGCATTTGTTACAGCCGGTATACTTGTGTTTTAAAAATACAATTCATTAAAATTCATTTGATTTTACATTAGTATTGTTTCATATGTTTCACCAGTTAATTATTCGATTCATATATAACTCCATTAACTAAATAGTAGTTAAGGTTAAGACACAATAACACGCCGAATAAATACTAATTCAGAAGTCAAACAACAAAAATCAGCGTTAATTTACAAAATTTTCACAGGACTAGTTTCGATGGTTTTACCGAACCATCATCTTCAGCTGCAAACCGCAAAATGGTTGCGGTTTTGCAGCTGAAGATGATGGTTCGGTAAAACCATCGAAACTAGTCCTGTGAAAATTTTGTAAATTAACGCTGATTTTTGTTGTTTGACTTCTGAATTAGTAGTTAAGGTTGTAAGAACGTTCCAAATAATTTGAGCTATTTAGCATACATTGACCATCTATTACCACATGAGTACATATATTCCAAGCATTAAAAACCTTCCAAAACTTTTTATTGTGCTTATAGTACTTTATACTGATATATATGACCTGCATGAAGAGGGCTAAATTTCGGAATGTATTTCCCGATAAACTTCGTAATCAGAATATTTGTTTTCCGTCAACTAGCGTTTAGCGCAGTTGTTAATTCAACTTGCATCTAATGGAAAATTTGACGCCCGTGTACACGGAATGCAAGTTATCCTAAAAAGGCTCCAAAGGATTTAGGTTTGGATTTAATTTTGCGTAGTTTAGCTTTCTTACCTCAAAATCTGAAATCAATCCATTACAGCCAGAGAGTGTGCCTTTCTTATGAAAGTAAGTAAATCTATGAAACTATTATTACAATAACTTGTTTGTGTATGTGTTCTCCAGGATGTACAGAAAGCAAATATGATTCATGATTATGTCAATAATAATTAGAATTCTCCCATACTAAGTTCCTGATGATGGCTGTTCAACTTAGAAAATATTGGGAAAGCCTTGAAATTAATTTATGAATCCTTGAAATTAATTTCTGAGAGTTCAAGATTCGCGTAATTTCAACAAGAAAACTTTCCTTTATTGTGCTTTTCTCACATTGGTTTTCACAATCAGTCATAATCAAAAAAATATTTTGATAGCAGTTGTACATTAGGATTTACTATAGTGATATTTTCCAGTGGTACGTTAGTGCCTGTAGTGCTTTGAGCAAATTTTCCTTACTTCATCTTTCTAAACTGAAAATTTCTTTGTTACTTCATGATTGCACAATCTAAATTTTTCTTTATTTGCGCATGTCAGAATAGTCCTCAGAGTAACTCAGATTGCTGTTAACGGAATTTCCTAGTTTATGGTTTTTATTATTATTGCAAGCAGATAGTCTAAATTTTTTCTATCGTATTAACATATAATAGGACAGAAATAGATAGAATTGGGCAATATGTATTCGTATCTAAAGTTGCATTTAAATACAGCAAATAAAGCTATTCAATCTAATTTATTCTTTCGTAGAACAATAAGCAAAATTAATTATTTGCAACTAATCTAATATATTTCTGAAATAAAAAATAATGGCATGTCTATAAGGTATTTCTCCAACCTTCTTAGTGCGCCTTCCTGGTGTAGCGGTCTGCACGTGGGGCGTGTATTCCAGAGGACCGTGGTTCGATTCCCGAAGAAGGTGTTGCTCATTTTCCATTTTTCCTGCTTCCGAAAAGTACATAATGTCTCTACACTGGCGCCCGAACTAAAAAGGGTGGTGGATAAGGATTCTCCACACCCAGGATTTGGCGATTGAGTCCCATAAAACCCCGGTCACCCTTTAAAAGGGTGAGTATATAAGGCATTTCTCCCCCCTTCTTAGCGTGCCTTCGTGGTGTAGTGGTCTGCACGATGGGTGCGTATTCCAGAGGTCCGTGGTTCGATTCCGGAAGAAGGCGTTGTCATTTTTCATTTCTCCTGCTTCCAAAAATTACCTAATGTCCCTACATGACTTCTTCCAAAAACGTTCTTTTGCCTCTGCTGCTGAGGACATGATTTCAGCTTTCAGCGAGAAAGGAGTGCCAGATATTTAAAAGCCTGGAAAATAATTCTTGTCTTATGAGATGGCTCATGTGTTCTTTTGAGGTTTTTGGTTTCAAAGTAGAACAATTCTCGGATACTATTTTGATGTTAATAGTACAATTTAAATTAGATTCTTCTAGGGTAGGATAGGTGGAGGAACTTTAAAATGAGAGGAAATATTAACCCTTAATGACCTGTTAAAATTCTTGAGTGAATTTCCAAAGCTCATGGCATAAGTGACATAAATTATGATAAAAGAGTACATTAAATTAACAATTCTCATTGGTTAATGAGACGTTTAAACTAACTGGTGATGAGATTAATGAAAAATATAATCTACCTGTGTTTAAACCGTATGTATACTTAGACACTCTTGAGATCAAAATAGTAGGAATGGTCAATTTGATGCATATAAATTAATACTTCTTTATTCAAATACCAAATTCATTTCCTAGAATGAAAGCTAATTAATTATTTTCCATTAGTTGAAACATAGCAAAATTCTAATGAACATTTTAATCTGCTAAATAAATTGAATACAGTAGAGCATGTTTATAAAAATTCTCGTTGTTTCTCTTCAGGTTAC